CTTTGGGGGAAAAAAATAAATAAATAAAAATTAAAATAAATAAATAAATAAATACGATGTTCTGGCCAAAACAATAAATTTGTGGGCTGAATCCATTTCAACTATTAGAGGAAATAAAGGAAGAAACAAATGAGGGAGGGAAGATATTTATTTCACAAAAGAATTGATCGCTGGCGTCCTTTAAATAGCAAGCTCCCCAGTTCAATAGAAACATGATTTGGTTAAAAAATATTCAAAATATATACCATTTTTTAGGGATATATTAATTACTAAAAATAAAGCATGTCTATTCTTAAAAACTGATTATTAGAGGGACTGCTAAATTTAAAATGATGCAGCCAATGTAACATTGGCGCTCAGCTGCCTTAGGACTCAGCACTCGCTCACTCACAGAGCCCCTTCTTGGCCCAGTGTCAGTCTGCTGGTACCAGGGGACACAGCAAGAGAAAGGAGACAGTTACGTCAGCAGCTCATAATCTCGTGGGCTTTCCCCATGGGAAGAGCCCTCGCAGATCAAATCTGTCTGCTGCACAGTCGGTCCACTGTTGCGTGTGCACACAGTAGGGTCAATTTGCATTTCTCAAGCTTAGGCTACTGCCAACCCTGAGCTTGACCTCAGAGCCTCCCCACGGGGCCTCAACGCCTCTGCATAAGCATCGGAACCGCCTTTTACCTTAGTGGCCTTCAGCTTCCATTCATACTGATTCCGTTCATTTTCCAACTCTTCCACCTTGATTTTGAGGTGCCTGAGCTCTTGCAGTAACTCCTAGAGGGAAGAGAGAGAAAAAGGAAGTTCTGATGGTTAAAGAGCAGCACGTTCCCTGGATCTACAGCCCTGGCTAAGCTCATGCACAGAGGATGCCAGGGGCAGGAGCAACCGCATCACGCTCCACAGCGTGGCTCGAATCCCGAAACACGGTTCTCCTTTCAGGAAAAGCTGCGTGGCCATTAAAAAACAAAGGCCAGGAAGTTCCAGAATAAGAAAGAGAAAATTTTTTTCTTATTTTTAGAACCCGTTCTGCCTGCCCCTTTCTGACATCCGCGTCCTCTGCCCAAATCATGCACATATGTGTAGGGGCAGGACAGGCAGGACTTGAAATCAGGAGGAACAAGATGCTGAAAGGAGGCAGCTTCTTACAAAGTAGCAGGAAGCAGGCTAGTTGGGAGCGTCTCTCTGCGCTGGGGGTCCAGGAACCCAGAGAGGGGTCCGTGATCCTGGAAGGCTTCACAGAGGAAGTGACAGCCAGCAGGACACAAATAAAACAGGAAGGGAAGAAATGCTAAGTGTCAAATGTAGAGGCCAGTCTGGGTGTTCCAGTTCAGAGGAGGCCAGTGGTTTGAAGAAAGGAGGGAGGGAGGAGGCAGCCAGGGAGAGGGAAAAGACAGGAGGCCGAAGGGATACAGGCTGCTGGGCTGGAGCAGAGGATGGGTGGTACGAGGTGGGAGATGAGGCTGGGGAGATAAGTGGGGCCCTAGTGAAAAGGCTTTTGGATGAGAACATAAGGAGTTCTACAGCCATTCTTTGGACAGTAGGAAGCCACTGAAGGTTGCTGAGTGGGGAAGTGATATTTAAACAACTGGCAATGATGGAACTGGAATTCAGGCCTGTTTCTTCTGACTCTAGGGCCCCTGTTTTCTTAACTACCCCTTCAATAAAGACGACACCACTAAGCACCCTTGTCCCAAACCAAGGTTCCTTTAAGGGACAATTAGTCTTGCGAACTGGTTCTTGTCAGAAAAATCAGCATAAAAGTGATTTTCATAGACTTTCTGAACTCCAGACTCACATAACAAACTCCCTACTTAACATCTCCATTTGGAGATGTTAAGGCATCTAACAACTGTTGACTGTCAGCGGCCAGTGGAACTCTTAATTCCCCCTCTTAGACAGCCCTGTCCCACTAAATGGCATCTCCATCCACTTCTTTGCCTGTGCCACAAACCTGGGATCCACCGTTGGCATCTCCTTCTCCCTTTCCCCCACATATGTAATTCATCCCCTAGCCTTGTTAATTCTATCTCCAAGGAAATAACTTGAATCTCTCATTTTTCTCCAACTCGGCCACCACTACTCTGATCTAGAGGTTAGTGTTGACAGCCTGGACGGTCTCTTCATTGGATGCTCCTCTGTCATCTTGCCCTTCTTGAATCCATTGACCCCCACAGCATTCAGGGGACAATACAATTAAAACACAAATCTTACCCTGGCACTTCCCTGCTTCTCAAAGCTCATAAAATTTAACCCATGACCAACACAGCCTGGCCCGCCCCACGCCCTGCCTGCCTCTTCTATTACTCTCTCCCAGGTTATGCTCCAGCCACACTGGATACTTTTTACAGCATTAGACTTTCAGGCCTGTTGTGACTTGCAGCAGATCCAGGATCATTTTCTGAGAACATCTCTAGCCCTGCCTGAGGGAGTGCCAGGCCTGCTAATGGCAGAACAAGAAGCGTGCAGGTTACTGCCCAAGGGGCTGCCACTATGGGGACACAGAGCATGATAATCTCCAGGTTCTTGTGACCTCTTTGGGACATTCTCCTCCTTCTATGCTATTTGTTGTCCATCATCAGCTATAAACACTGGTACAAATTTTAACTTTTAGATGTCTTTCTGGCGTAACCTACTCACCATGGGGCATGCCCCAGCACCCTCTCAGGGCTTCCCTATCTAAATCTACACTTGCATCTTGACTCTCATTTTTTCCCCTTATCCTATAATGTAGATGGAAATCTTCCCTACTGAGGCCCTCCCCTAATGCCTAAGTCTGGGTAGAGATTTTCAACATGTTCCATAGTTGAGTAGGGATCATGGTAACTTCCTACAGAGCTGAGGCAGACCATCTGCAGTGCTCATGGCTACCGTGACTTTGACCTTCCCTTGAGCTTCCAAGTCCTCTTCGACAGTAACCTTGGAGGCAGAGGCTCATGTCTGTGCAGCTGCCATCACCAGGCCTCACCCAGGTCACACAGGACCCAGTCACACCAGTGTGAGGGGATAAGTCCAGAATCCCAGTCAGATACACCCCACAAGGCCCAGAGGTTGTGAAATCCCTCTAATGTGATTATGTATGTGGGGGAATTTCTCCTGGAAATTCAGATAATGACTTAATTGTCACAGCAAATGGAAACTTGTGATCTATTTTCTCACTGGGGATAAACCTCTTTAAAAATAAACTTGAAAGAATTCTTTCATGATGCTATTTTTTTCCTTAAAAAAAAAAAATCATGTGACATGAAACTTCATTTAATCTCCCAGCCCAGAAGGAGGAATCAGTGTCTGAATTGTACCTGGGATGGTACCTGAGGCTTCCTTTTGCGTAAATGCCCCATCACTCAGGGCACCTGACAGACCTCATTCCGAGATCTGAGAGAGATGAGAGCCGCCACCTGTCTGAAGGTTGGCGTCACCTGCTCAGACTCTGCTTGGTGAGGGTCACAGAGCTCAGGTCATGTCCTGAGAGAGTGAATGAGTGTCAAGCTCCGCCCAGAGGTAACAACAGATCCATGTTAGACCACCGCACTCTATTCTGGTTAGAAGAAACTCCAGCCCCTCCACCAGGGAAATGCCCCACACGCATGCTCTGATATACTTAAGTGTGGCTCCTACAGGTGACCCCTCCCAACAGGCACAGTCCTGGCTGCAGGGCTGGGGCTCGGCCACACCGTCACCAGCCGCCACCTCCTCAGGGTGGTCCCTAGTGAGTAAGAAGCGCTCTTGAATCTGCCTGTGGATGTCCAGCTGCAGCCTACACATCTGCTCCTGCAGCTCACTGATCACATTCAGAACCGACTGTAGGAAGGAAGAGAGAGGAGAAAAAGGCATTCAGGGTCAGTCAGCTCTCAGATCCAGACCTCCTTAGGAGAGTAGCATGGAGGGGAGGAAGCGTGCAGAGGATGAGCGGCAGGTGGCACCCAGTGGTCACTGTCCATAATGACTCGTTTCTTCACAGGAAACAAAAACCATGGCATTTTTCCTGAGGCCTGCACCATCCACAAGCCTGTCTTACAGTTTGAACAAACCCCCAGCAGCTCCTTTGTGCCATCCTTGCATGTCAACCTGTGAGATACAGAGTCTAGCAACAGCAGAGATGGGCACACAGATGGATACATTCCCTCATGCTACACGTGCCAACTCCCCCCCAACACGTCAACACCTGTGCACAGGTGACATACGGTGTACAGCACACTCATGCATGCTAATACATCCTCAACCCCAGACTCTCCCTCACACCCTCTACCAAACCTGACTCCTTGGCTTCCCCCTCTAAACCTGACTCCTTTGTAGCCTCAAGAACATCTTGGCCTTTTATGGAAACTTTGAAAGATAATTTCAACTCTTGGAATTCATCCCTACTCGTTTCTGAATCCCTTTCACTAGCAGCTCTACTGGGCTTTCCTTTACCTACTCCACAGACATTTAGTGTCCCTCTGCAGAGACCCAAGGCCACAGCAACAAATGGTGCTCACTGGTGAGTGGGGACAGACACACAAATAACAATCACAACAAGGCTGTTAGTGCCACGGCCAAGAAGACCACAGGGCTCTCAGGGAGCAGTGAGTGACAATTCTGCCTGGGTCAAGAGGAAGAGAGGGGGCGAGTCTAAGTGATGTCAAGTAGGCACATTCTAGACCCCTTGCCTGGGTGTGGGAGTAAAGGAGATGAAGAGACATGGGCCTGGATTACAGGGTAGATGATGGTGCCATTAGTGGGGGTAAGGAACCTAAGAGGCTGGGGAAGACTGAGCAGCCTGTGGGGCAGGGATATGGATTTAAGGGGGCAATTGGCAATAGAGCAGAACAGAGCCTAGGGTGGGGAAGGTGGCAGCCAATTAAACGGTTTAGCCCCTCCCTGCCCACCTTTACTGATATTCTAAGCACAGCTTCTGGTACTGAGAGGTCTGCCCACTGGCACCTTGGGAACTACCCAGGCATGCCAGAAAGAGGTCTTCCATCCCCAATAGTGACAGCGCTGTCTAAAAGAAGACAAGCTCCTACCCCATGTCTTGACATTTTGTGAATCCCCTTTTCAATGTAGAAGGGAAACTGGATGGCAGCTTGGGGCTGAAAGGGCACTGGGCTAAGGCCCCCACATCAGCCTGCTCTCCTTTCTGGTGACACCATTCAGACTGGGAGAGCCACAATGCAGCCATCACTGTCATCAATGGGCCCCTGACCTCCCAGCCACTCTCTCCTTGAGCTGGCTCCCTTAGTTAGCCCATAGACAGCCTCACGTTGTCTTCCCCCAGGGTCATCTATCTAACAAGGCATTTCCCTACTGAGACCAGACCTACTGAGGACTGGGTTGAGAAATCAAGGTGACCTTTGTGGGCCTGAGTAAGCGCCCTGGACCCCAGACTTTCATGCAGATCCACTGCTGCTAGTCTTGAACCCTGTGAGACATTGACCAATGGGCTGGGACCATACTGGCTCTCTGGGCTCTCACCTGCAGTCCCAGTGCAGACACTGGGCTCTGACTTGGCCTTTGCTGTGTGCCCCTGGGTTGTGAACCCCTAGCTAGCTTAGCTCAGATGCTGACAAGGGGAGAGGATTCCTGCCTGACTGGCCCCAGCCACTAAGAGTCACAGTCCAGCTCTTTCTCTGCTGCTTCTGGACTTCGCCATCACTGGGAGACGCCAAATGGGAGAAAGACCATCTACATTCAGTTTGTTCATGCTTTTTCGTCCGAGAAGACTTAAAGTCTTTTAGTGCTTTAATCGGTTAGCAGGTAGGTCCCCAGGAATAGCTATGAGGACTGAGAAGCTGGAGAAGAAGGAATCAAAGAGGCAGGAGAGAGTTGCACTCAGCAGCCCCAGGTGGAAGGATCAGCTAAACACAAAGAGAAAGTAAGTTGGGGTCCAGGTAGGTTTCTACACGAGAAACAGGAAGTTGAGGGAGACCCTCCCCAATGGCCTTGATCTTCTCTGTAAAGGAAGAGGCAAGGTTGCCTGCGAAAATGACACAGCAGTGAAGCAAAAGCAGGTACAGGTTTAGAATAGTGACTGTGAGGCATGAGAAGAGGAAAGTCAGGGGTGGAGAAAGGAAATATGAAGGGGAGGGGAGGATGCAGCCCAGGCTGGAAGTCAATTAGCACAAAGGTAAATTTTTGTTTTTTTATTACATCTAACCTTCCAACCAAGAACCCTGAGGCAGAAGGAAGGATGGTGGGTTAATCAAGGATGGAGTCAAAAGCAACTCCTCAAGGTAACAACCAGCCATCATCTCCCCAAAGAGGGAGACTCAGCCTGTTACGGGTGTCTAAGCTATGACGAGCGACAGCATGACGCAGGGAAAAGTGCACAGGCTTCGGACTCCTACAGCTGCTGGGTTTCATCCCAGTCCTTCACTTTCTTGTGTGTGACCTTGAGCAAGTTATGAAACTTTTCCAAACTTGGTTTTCAAATTTGTAGAATGAGGGTCTCTCTACCTCACAGGGTTGTTGGGAGGACTAAATCAAGTGAGACTTAAAGGCCCTGGCATGGTGCCCGGCACATGGGAGGCATCTCATAATGTGGGTTCACTCTCCTACAGTGCCTTCTCCTTCTGCCTTTAAGTGTGTGATTCATAAGAAATAAACAAAAGAAACTTGGAGAGCCACAGAAAACACCTGAAGGTCACAGGACACAGTTAAGGCCAATGTGACATTGATTACCAACAACAAAAGCCCAACTGCTCCACACCCCCTGGCACGCTCACCTTATTGGTCGCTCTTTTCCAGAATCTTTTGTCTCTCCAAGCCCACTGGCCCTGCCTGTCTCCAGGCCTGCTCTTCTCTCCTATGTAAGTTTCCAGAACTTCACTGCCCTCTCCCTTCTCTGGTTCCCTCCATCACTAAACCTCTCAAATGAAGAGTTTAGACCAGCTGTCCCTGATTTTCCTCACCTCATTCCCAGCCCTCAATCTCCAGGCAGATAGCTCTGTCTCCACCATAGAGGACACCACTCTTCCTCTGTGCCCTCCCCCGGTCCACAGGCAAGTTCTCGGTCTGCAAGCTGCTTAGCTCCCTCCTGAAATGTTTCATTTCTCACTTTCAGCGATTTTGCACTATTCAAGTTCTTCTGATCTTTTAGTCTTTTTCTGACATCTTATCTATCACTCCAGCCTGTGTAGGTTTCTATCAATTCCAGTGTCAACTGATCCATATAGTTTTTCTTTGGCTTCCTGTCATCACAACTTAAAGGTCTTCTATATCAGCATCCAAATTACAGACCAACTATGCTAAATAGGCAGGAGGGCTAAGGACAGATTACTGTTACCCTCTACCAAAAAATCTTCCTATAGTCTGTAGGTACTAGTCATCATCATCTGGGTACCAATATACCTATTTTAGCATTAATCCTATATTCCTCCATCTTATCCACAAGACTATCCCAAGCAGTATTTTTGCAATGCCTTGCTGAAGTGCAAGTTTACCAGTCTATCAAGATGAGATGCATTCTTGGCCAAACTGATGAGGTCAATCTGAAGTAACTCACACTTCATGGACATGGATCCCTAATTTGTGTTCCAGCTTCTCACAAACCATCATAGAGCTGACCCCAAACTCAACAAACTAAATTTTATAGAATCCATCTAACTTTCTTTACCATTTTGAAAAGAAAAAAAAGAAGAAAAGAAAATGGCTCTCTTCCAGTTTTCTAGCAACTCACTTGATTTTCCTGATTCCTTAAAATTCACTTACAGCAAGCAGTTTGGGGACTGTTGTCCTAAGCTCTTTGTACCTATCAGAGGCATCAGTGGAATTGAGCCCATTCTTTCTTTGATCTTCTTATTGAGAACATAACTTGCTTAAAAAAGTCTTTCTATTGTCCTCAGTGTGTCCTTTTGTCTGGGGTTTGCCATTCCTGATGCTGATCGTGCAGGTGCACTTTTATTTGTTTTTTCTATCTTTTGTACAAGCCCCTTTGAAAACTAGTTTCTCTCAAGGCACCTCTAAGCTTTTCCTTTTTATTGGTTTTATTTGTGAGTCTGCACAGTCAGAATTATATTGTTAAGTAGTTCAATATTCTTGAATCATCTTCTATTTTATTTCTGAACTTTCAAAGTTATGATTTACCAAAGTCTATAGTGCATGTCTGTCTATACCTAGTTTTTCCCTCCCTCACTTTCATGAACTCTCAAATAACAATAACCACTCTCTTCAGTTTTTTTTTTTTTTTTTTTTGGTTTTTTTTTTTGGTGAGGAAGATTAGCCCTGAGCTAACATCTGTTGCCAATCCTCCTCTTTTTGCTGAGGAAGATTGGCCCTGAGCTAACATCCGTGCCCATCTTCCTCTACTTTATATGTGGGATGTCTACCACAGCATGGCTTGATAAGTGGTGCATACGTCTGTGCCCAGGATCCGAACCTGCAAACCCCAGCACGCTGAAGTGGAGCACGTGAACTTAACTACGCCACCGGCCAGCCCCAAAGGACCCATCACTTTTACTTCATAAATTAGTTTCTCCCTTTGCTTCAACATTAGAGCTACAGTGGCAGTTCTCCTAGTTTCTTTCTCTATCGTCTAGGTAGAAACTATAACAAGAGGGGAGTGGGGTGGGGGAAACCAATCTTTCAAACACTTAAGTGTTTGGCTGGAGGAGATTTTTAGGAGCTATCCAAATTGTTGCTCCCCTCACTTGCTGTCTCAGTCAGTCTAAGGACCTATCTCAGGAGTGCATCTATTTCCCTCTTCTGCTCAGTGTGACTATGTGGTGTATCCGAGCACTTCTGGGACACTCTCCTCTAATTCTCCCTGTCTGTGTGGTGGTGGTGGTTTCCACTACGTCTATCCTCAGGCTCAGCATTTCAACTTACTTTTATAATTCTTTTTCTCCAGGGCTAGCCCATCTCCTCTCTTAACAGGTCTATTTCTCTTACAGGGCAGAGCCTTTTGTAGCTGTGTTCCATTCTTGGGTCCCATACCATGAAGGCCAGGTGACATTTATGAAGTTCTAATTGCTGTTCTGTGTTGTAATCTCAACATGCTTTGTTGATTACTCCTGTTTCACCAACCATCAAAGTTCTTTTTTATGGTTCTATTCTATGTGAAACTACTGGGCATCTGCCAGAGTCAGTCTTTCCCACCCCACCTACTTGCTAAACTTGTTCACAATTTTACTTAACTCTTTCTCTCCCTCTTCCTTCATGCTCAGTTTGATACTGTCCTGGCACTCTCATACATTGCTGGTAGGAATGTAATCTCTATATTCCATAGGGCAATTTGGAAATATCTGTCAAAATTTCAAGTGCATGTACCCTTTAATCCATCAATTCTACTTCAATATCCTCACACATGTACAAGATTATTCAAACAGCATTATTTGCACTAGCAAACACTTGGAAACAACTTAAATGTCCATCAAAAGAGGACTGGTTAAATAAGGGCATAGTCAGCAGAATAATATGCAGACATAAATGCAAATGAGGAAGTTTTTTTATGTAACTGATATGAAACAAATTCAAAAACTGCTAAATTAAAAAAAACAAAGGTCTAGAATAGTGATTTGTGCAAAAATGAGGGAAAGAATATATATGTGTGTGTGTGTGTGTGTGTGTGTGTGTGTGTGTGTGTGTGTGTCTTTCCACATAAATTTGCTTGTCCGCACACAAGATAACTCTGGAAGGATACAAAAACTGATAACATTGGTTCCTGACTGTTGCCTGGGGGACAGGAGTGGAAGGAGACTTTTTACTGTATATACCTTTTCAAACTCTTGATTTTTGAATTGTTGAAATATATTTCCTATGCTAAGAAAAATGAGTAAATAAAACAAAATAAATAAAATAAAAACTCTCCTAGTCAGTCCAGCTTTTCTCTGAGGAAACACAATCTTTCTAGCCCTTGCTCTGTACTCCAAGTCCATCATTCTGGTTGCCCCAGTTCAGAAATCAGAATCCCTCGCTTCCAAGGTCCTAACCATTGGAAGAAAGAAAGGATTATATCACACTACCTGTGCCCCAAGATATTTTTTTCCAGAAAATCCTAAAGATTCTTTCTGGTTCTCTTCATGCTTATGTATTTCCCTGACGAATTGGGCTGATGCTGACTTCACTTCCCAGCACCTGCTGGATCCCTGCTCTCTTCACAGGCTGCTCTGGCACTCCCCGCAGAACTCTCTGGATCTCACTAAGAGATCTGTCTGCAGGCCTCACTGCATTTCCAGTGCTCAGGGGAGCCAGACTCCCTTCTCCAAGGAAGAGCCCTCCGAGGAACACGCCTTTGATATGGTGCGCCACTCAGAGGTTTTCCTTTGCCTCTGGATCTTTCTTTCATGTTCCATCCTCCTAATTCTGGTATGTACTTTCCATGTCAGTCACTCTTTTGCAGTCCTGTTTTTCAGTAGCAAGCCTAACTGATCCACCTCTGGGTCCCCTGAAATGGCCCAGAAACATTGCAAAAGGCTCGTGAGAAAAAGGTAGAGTAAACAGGAAATCCAGCATTCACCACATCTCATTTGGGCTGCCACTGACCGACCCCTGAGCCAGGCTGGCTGTCAGGATTCTCTCCATTTGACAAGAAACCTGCACCTCAAAGTCCTCAGATTTATAGCGAAGCATCCATAATCACTTCCACAACTTACAACAGGCAGCAGGATATTGGCTTAGCCTGAGATCAGAACCAGACAGAAAGAGCAGTCTGCATGCTCTTGTTAACAGCATCCTTTTTTTTTTTATTGAAACATAAAATGGAAGTTGAGGATAAAGGCTGAGCTATGCGGAGGAAGTTTATTTCAGATCTGGCTACCACGGAAGAAAAAAAAACAGGTCCTGCCTTTTCCAAACCACAAGCAATCAGGCCTCAGGCTAAATACATTCACTAGAAAAACCAGCAGCAGGGTAGAAGCAGCATTCCCTTTATTCATGCAGCTACAACCTCTAGTGACCTTAGCTAGCTAAATGTCTCACTCAAAATAAACATCTCCAAGCACATGACAAAAGCGCAGCTTAAGCAGCTCTCTCCATGGTTTTAAGCCCCTGGTGCTCCAGATAGTCACGAAGGGTCCTGGAGGTTCTGGGCATACCAGCAAAGATTATGTTCAATTACAAGAGTGAGAAATTTGTTTCAGGTCATGTGGCTGTTCACCGATTATCACAGGTTTGAACAGCCTAAAAAATTCCTCCACGTGGAAACCTAATGTTTGTACTAGCAACTGGGAAGGGCTGTTTTGTGGTAGAACTGAGGCTAGCAGTTCAGTGTCCATGTTGCCTCATGCATGAACAGCCTAATGGAAAACAAAACAAAAAACTCAGATTGGAAAACAATCCTTCGGGAAAGAAAGAAAGAAAGCAAATGGCAAAATGACTGCTTTAGTCATACTTGGCCCAGAAGTAGGAGCTCTCCATCCTGCCCACCTTTCCTAGAAAGAACCTGAGCTGCCCCAGCTTCGCACTAACCCTGCGTTCTTCCACAAGCGGACTGATTCTCACACTCACACACACACACATGCGTGGGTACATGCTCACTACAGTGACTGGTTCAGGACCAGGCACATGACCCAAAGTGGCCCAACGAGACACAATCCTGGGGATTTTTCTGGAACCTTTGAGAAAGAGAATCTCTCTCTGTACAGGGGTTGCCAGGCTGGAAATCTACAGCTAATTCTAATCTCTCTCTGTCACCACATGGGGAGAGACTTCCTGAGAATAAGGCTAAAACAGAACCAAGTGATACACTGAGGCTGACTTCTAATGACGTCGTGAGGTCACCTGGATCTAGTGATATCAGACTTTTAAAACCCTGGACTGTTCAAGTTGTGTGACCTAATAACCCTCCCTTTTTTTTTTTTTAATTTAAGTGGTTTTGAGTTGTCACTACCATTTTAAGCTTTCTCACAGAGTTTAATGAATTCTGCCCCCAAAGCCTTAATGTATGTTCACATGTAATCACATATCTTAACACATTGGTAAAATAACTCTAAACCTGGAGAAAATTCAATTGCTTCTCTCTCAACATTTAAGAAGTCGAGGCTAAGGGCTGGCCCGGTGGCGCAAGCGGTTAAGTGCACGTGTTCCGCTTCGGCGGCCCAGGGTTCGCAGATTCGGATCCCGGGTGTGCACCGACGTGCCGCTTGGTAAGCCATCCTGTGGCGGCGTCCCATATAAAGTAGAGGAAGATGGGCACAGATGTTAGCCCAGGGCCACTCTTCCTCAAGAAAAAAGGGGAGGATTGGCATCGGATGTTCGCTCAGGGCTAGTCCTCCTCACAAAAAAAAAAAAAAGTAGAGTCTAATCAACTAACACTTCACACAGGTAAGTTTTCAGTCTGTGTGACCTTTGCTGTATGTAAATAATGTATCTAAGTCTACATTTACATTTCCAGCATGCTTAATCAGGAAATAGAGAGTATTACTATCGCCATTTTACAGAAGAAACAGAGGTTTGGGAGGTTAAATTACTTGCCTAAGATCACAAAGCTACTGGGTAGCTGAGCCTGGATTACAGCCAGGAAATCTGATTCAAGAGCCTACACTAGATGATACTATCCCCATCTTAACAGAGTTATCTTCTTTTGGCGATGATACTTCTTACTAATGAACATGTTCTCAAAAGCAATGCAAGGCATATGCCCTACATAGTAAAAGTGTCTCAATCACCAGCGTTTACCCAGGAAACATAGAAATATGACAGGTTTCAGTGCACAACAATGTTGGCACTTAGCAGAAAGAAACAATATTTATCTTTAGATTTTGAAGATGCCTAAATAGAGGAAGGGGATAAAGATAAACCAAGTACCTACAACATGCCATAAACTGTGATAGGGACTTAACTTTTGAGTTTTATTTGGACTTCACCACACAGTTATCCATTTTATAGATAAAGAAATTGAAGTTCAAAGAGATTAAGTGGCTAACTTGTTGAAGTTCAAAGAGCTATTAAGCAGTTAGGTCAATAATTGAGCCAAGGTGTTTCTCAACCTAAAGCCTATCTTCTTTCTACATCTCACATCGCCAGGTGTGAATACTGGGACTTTTAGGTAGAGGAACATGGTAGATGGTTATCTATGGTTAAAACAGGCTGTTCTCTCTCAAATAAAGCACCTCTGAGTCTATTTATCCAAAATATTTCTCCAAAAAAGGAGTCTGGCATGGTCTAGACAGATGGAATGGCATATGGAACCTGAAAACAAAAACAAAAACAACACAGGAAAACAGTCTCTAAGAGCAGGCCTGTGTATGAGCTCATCCATATGGCCCATCAGGAGAAAAGAAACAAATCATCTAAGGGTTCCATCTGGGTCAGTGAAATGCATATCAAAGAATGTCTCCAGACTTCCTGGATATAGTGACGGTGGCCTGTTATGCAGCTGACTTCATCCCAGTACATGGTCCTTACATTGGGTCTCACAGAAGACATCTGGTGTCCCTCCATGTCTTGTCTGTTGCTTCCTCTACTGCTGCTTCCCTTGCTATCCTTGTCAGCAGCTTGAGGGAGGATAAAGCCTTAGAGCCAAAACTGGGTGGTTTGGGCATTGCTGAAATCTGCAGCCACAGCAAAACCTGATAACTTTGTATTAACAGCTCATTGCGTCTCAACTGCATAGATGTTTCTGGCACCCAGCAGCTGCCAGGTTTGGGGTTGACCAGATGGCCCGAGTCCACATTAGGAGAGCATTGCCTGGTGTGAGCTTAGGATAGCATGGGTCCCTGCAGAATTTGGTATATCACACTCACCTCTGCCTTTCTCTGCTTCTCCTCCTGCTCTCTCTGCTCCTTCTCCATGCCTACCAGCTTGAGCTTCAGCTCAGACACTTCAGTCATCAGATCGAGCTTCTGGGTCTCAAGAGATGTACGACTCAGCAGCTCCTGCAAGCAAAAACAGATCTCTAAGTCATAAACCTCCATGGCAACAAGGACAACTCTAGCTCCATCCATAGTACATAAGGCAATCTCTGAGTTGTGTGTTGGATAACACAGAGTTGAGACTGCTGCATATGAGCCACAGGTCTATTAGGGACAGGCCTGGGCTGACACTGGGTCACTCAGGGATAGCACAGCCCCTGCCACTACCCACTGTGCTCTGAGAGACAACATGAGCTACAGTTCTCAAAAAACGTATTTGCCCATAGAAACCATTATTCATTATTTCTAAGTAGAGAAAAATGGAGGGGTCTACTCAAAGAGCTAAATTTCTCCATCTCTATTTTTAAGGCAAAGCAGCAGGTCTTCTCCACCAAAACAAACAAAAAAACAAACTTATGTTAACAATATATTTTTCAAAACCAAAATTTCCAGATCACCTCCTGGGATCAATCAATGCTTAGCCCAGTCTTCAACACATCCCATTGCAAGATCTCACTGCAATGAAGCTAGAAGAGAACTAGAGCATAAAGTAGAGATGCAATGAGTATTTATTAAATGATTATATTAGAATTCTATTTATGTGCTATGGATCTTTCCTGGCCACTATGGGATGTAAGAAATTATTCTTTCCTTATTGCAAGGACAGACCAGGGGAGATTATTAGAGGTCCTGCCATCACTAGAACAGTAGTAGACAACAACCTGCCATTAATACATATAATAAGCATAAATAAGACAAAAACAAAGGCAAAACACCTACTCAGAACTACTAGGAATTATGAAGGACCTCAGAAACCAGGAGCATTTCCCAAAGTCCAGGGGCAACATTTCTCAATTGGCAAAAGGTAATGTTCCATAAGTTCCAAAATCCTGGCACACGGTAGACACTGGATACACAGGTCCTAGCAAGGAGACTATACTATGGCAACTAGGAGAGTAACCAGCCAAATTAATAAACAGAAAAGACACAATATCCTGCCATGGTCTGAACATTTTGTATCATCTTGGGCAACCCAACCCTAGTACAAGAATGGCAATCTCAACATTCTGCCCCAATAGCTGTGATTTCACATACTCTGCACTGTGCTCAGATCAGAAACCAAACTACACAGGACAGAGATTTTTAACTTGGAATACATGATTCTCTAGGCCAAAGGCCCTCAGTACCTCAGAAAGCCAGGCTACCAACTGTCCATCTGCTAATCTGAGGGGATGAGTACCTAGAAGCCAACAGTTCAGCAAAATGAGCTCACTGAGCACTGGGCCGAGAAGGCTGCCTCTTCCTGGGCCAGCCAGACTTGAAGCCAGCATATAGGGCAGAGGCAGCAGCAACGCCATGCCAGAACTGTGGGCTACTTGGTCATGAGGAGTCAGCCAGATAAGTGTGTTCAATATAATGGAGAGGGGAGGACATAGATTCACCGAGGGCCTCCTCTGTGCCACACACTCTTGAGTACTTTACGTATGTCCTCTCAATAAACGTGCCCAGTGATTTGACAGTAAATATTATCATCTCGATTTTACAGATGAGGAAACAGACCCAGAGATTGGCCTGTCTTGGCCAAGGACACATGCCAATCAACAGCAGAGTTAGTTTTCAAACCAAGATTTGTTTGACTCCCAAACTCATTTCTGTCTCATGTATCACATTGTTTCCCAAACAGAGGAAGAAGTCCAAATTTTAAGGATAATAAAAAATACATGCTGAGAAAAGCCAATCAATAAATATTCACTGAGCCCAGGAAATAGCCACTCAAATGATCAAAATTTTGTTGAGCACATACTATCTACTAGGGCCTGGTGCTAAGGCTATGCAGGTCATAAAAGATCCTAAAGGGTTCTTCCCCAGGTGAGGAAGATCGGATCTCTGGGTCTTGAGTATCTTAAGATGTAATCCTCCCTGACACCATCTACTCAGTCCCATCTCTTTCTTCTCCTTCCCCACCGTGCTCTCTGCCTCCACCACTTCATTCTATGTTTACCTCTCCATCCTTTCATCTACCTGCTTTGTTCCAAAACTGATTTGAGGGAGTTTGCAAAATAGACAATTCAACTTAAAAAATAAATCATAAAAATTAAAGCAGGTAGGAAAAGAAGTTGAAGCCAAAGTTCAGTTGGTACAAAACTCATACCCTAAAGTTCTATACACAGCTAGAGATGGACTATACTGCGTATGTGAGCTTCCCAGCAACCAGTACAAAAGGAAAAACGAGCAATTCTGCAAATCAAGGTCCCTGAGATGATAACAATTGCTTTGGAGTGCTGAGAATTGAGAAAATATTCTCACAAGAGACTTCAATTGTTTATTCAACAAATATGTTTTTAAATATCTACCAGATGCCTAGACCTAAGGATATGACAGTTAAAAACACAGCTCCTGTTGATTGCCTGAGTATCTTAAGATGATATTAATACAGTCTGTCTACAGACCAGCATTTAAGATTCTGCCTTGGTGGGATTCAAAAAAGCCTCAGAATATATCTCTCCTGAAAGCTAAGAATCTACTCCACTTCCATTACTGCCAAAATCCCTCTAGCTGTTTTAACTGCTAGGCTATAATTGGTCACACCATGTTCCAGCTGACTAGGACAATATTTTAATTGGTCACACTAAAATTCCAATAGCCATTCCAATTGGTCATGCCAGGGTTCCAACTGGTTACACTAATATTCCAAGTGGACATTACAGTTGGACATACCAAAGTTTTAATTAGAAACCTGGGGCTGCTTAATTTCGTACAGTTCACTGATAACAAAACTTTTACTTTCTCTCTCCTCTAGAGAATGTGCCTCTACATTTCATTATCATCACCCCTCATCCTTGTCATTAATAAGCACTGTCCCACTCCCTGAACTCAAAATCGGCCATCAAGCTTGTCCCAGTCCAGCTCCACTTTACCATCTCCAGGCCCGGCATGGCCTCCAGCCACTATTATGTACTATAATCTCTATCATATATGTCCTAGCAGGATTCAACTACCCTACATTCTCAACTGCTCCTTCTACTTCCAGCATAAACTGAATTTTGAGTTTTGCACAATATGATACATCCTTCTCAGTCATCTCAAGTGGAGACCACTCTGCTCCAACAACCCAATTTATAGAACACCTTTCTCCCTGTTTCAAGACTGCTTGCAGACCACTATTTATCCCTATTGATGGTCTACGTCTACTCTCCTCATTCAGTTATATCATATTCTCCCCAAATATCCAGAACCCAAGACAGTCTCCCATTTTCCTTGAGCCTTTTGTCTTTTGATCAACAGTTTCTCTTCTTACTTTGGGTGCATTCCATCTCCTCAGTAGCTTCAACGTCGTTGTTAATCAATCTTCTATTCAGTACCCACTCTGGCTTCACATTTCTTGACTTCAACACCAACAGGCTTTGCTTCCACTTCGTTTTAGCTTCTCAGCAGTATGGCCACAACCTGGCCCTCATCTTTATCCCAAATGCATTTGCTCTGCTTCTAAAGTCTTCAACTCAATTCTCTCCTCTGGCCACAATCCTCTGACCTTTCAACTGTCCCATTTACTCACTCAAATAATCTTTAATTTCTTCTTCTGTGGTCACTGGATACTTAATAACCCCCTCTTTTCCTAGTCTATCAACTTCCTTTAAGCAATATTTGTCTCCTTATCCACTAGATACCCTGAGGTTAGTCATTTCAATTGTATAGTATCTGCACCAGGAAATCCCTCATTCAACTCATCCCTACCCTAGACCTGAAGTGCATTTGTTTTACCAGAGCCCAAGTCCATGCCAAACCTCAGAATCTTTTCCCTATGTTTCTACTCCCCATGGCCTGAGACTTGCTGGTAAAAGTCACTTAATGATGCCAATTTGTTTCCACACAAATTTACGCTATCTAGTTACAGCTGATCTTCCAATACTGCCTGGCAAAACTTGTATCCATCTCCGGCTGGTTCCTTTCAGAGATTGTTCCAAATCTTTTCCAATCTCCTCAAGCCCTAAACCCTACCCTATCCCGCTCTTCTCCTCAAATAACCTCTCCTATTTACTGAAAAGATTTTTAAAAGTCATCTTATCATTCATTGAACTTATATCCTTTCTATTTCAAAGCTTCCCAGAATTGTCTCAGTCATATCTCTTAAATCCACGTCTTAGAGAAAGCAAGCCCACACCTCCATTCCAAGGTTACTCTGACACAACTGCACATGGCCAACTTCTGTTAAGTTCTTTCCCCTATAAGAACTGTTCCCTAGCCCAGTAAGTTTCCAGGTTGCACATAAAAAGCATATGATAAAGGACACAATGATTCCATAGTTTGCTCCCGAATTGCCCTACCTGACCCACCTTCCTATTGCTGACCATTTCTCAGTCTCGAGACTCTTCACGCCATCCTCACACAGCTTGATGGAACCTCAGGTTCCCTCCCTGGCTAACCAGTAGGGGTTGGCTTTGTTCTCTGAGTTCTGCTCCTGTCCTCCCTCTAGCTGGTAACTCAGAATGACATCTACTCACATGGTCCTAGGTTCTCCCTCACTTCTGTCCTGCCTTTGAGGAAGTTCCCACCAAGTCTGTGCTGCTCCAGGAGGGGACCATTAATCATCCACTCTGACAGGCATTTAATCTCTCCCTCACCATCAGCTCCCATTCCTCAGGCTATAAACATGATCAAATTTCTGACATTCTAAAGAACCTTCCCTTATGACCTTGCCTATGCCTCAAGCAACCACCATCAACTCCCTTGTGCTCTCACTAGGCAAGTGCGTGCTCTGTGTGCATTGTGTGTGTGAATGCTGCCTCTCTTTGTCCCCTCCCTCTCCCCTTCACAGCCAAGCTCTAGAAGGAATAATCTACCTCTTCTTCCTCATCTTCCTGTCATTTCTCAACAAGATGTCTGCATGCCTGCAACCTGGCTTCTGCCTTCACCAGGTAGGGCACAGAAACAGTTCTGGGGACCAATGTCCAAATGATCAGATGCAACTTATACTTCTCAGTTCTCAACCAACTCACCCTTCATCCACTCATCAGTGTAAACTA